TTATTTGAAACTTCGTTTGGAATATACTTTCGTTACCAATAAAATAAAAATCTCTCAGTCAATCAGAAACCCGGATTCATGCCTTCGGGGAAAGTCCCGTTTGGACGCTCACATCGGTTTTTTTTTGGGGGGGGGGGGGCAAAACTGGTCGCAATTTTCAAATAAAAATGAGTCGTCAATTTTTGGAGTTTTTACAGTACTATACATGTACTTCTCAGCGTCTGCCAACTCATAGAAAGTCATTACACACTATTCCAAAAAATTGTATAATATTTACCAGAAAGTGGGAAATATGTCTATAAATTCTCTTTACATTAATTAGCTAAGCAAATATTGTGCTATTATATGTTACAGGTATATATCAAATAAGGGAGCCCTTCTTTGAAAGGAGTGTATTTTCTCTCATCCTTTGTGTCATGTCAGTCACATTCAGCATACAGCTCTGCATTGTTTAACACGGCCATTCTAATCCCACAATATTAAAATATAAATAACAACTTTATGGCCACATAAGGTTTTAAAATACCTGAGACAAACACACTGGAGGATGAAGGGGTAGAGATTGCACTGGAAGTCGTTAACGTGATAAATGTCAAAGAAGTGGAAATTGTACTGTTTGTATGTCAGTTTATTTAGTCAAGCTTTGCCCTGTTGTTGTTGACTGTTTTTATTGACGACAATGACAAGGACAATTTGGCTCAGCATTTTTAATAGACAGTGTTATTAATGAGTATGACATATCATTGCCAGTTTAAGACAGATAGTCTGCGTGTTACGGTGCATTGTTTGCTATACATGTATGCAAAATATTTCTAGACTACGTGTACTTCTTTAGTGGGAAAGAAGTAAAGAGGGAAGAATAACAAATCCAACCATAAATCATTCTAACAAAAGTCGTATAGGGAAATTTACAAGTTTAAGAAGACAAAAAAAACGTAATGATAAATATCGAGAAGAATGAAACAAAATACATGTAACATTCAAGTACACCACACTACAAAAACATTTTTAATATTAAGGCTGGCTGATCTCTACAAAAGTGTTGTTTTAAAGATGGCCTAATATTGTGGTTTGTCTTCTCTGCCTGATATGTGTAAATACACCATAGATGTCTCTTTTTGTCTGACTAACACATTATCTCCCTCTATCTTTGTAGGTACCCAGACTCCTATTACAGTTTATGATAAAAATAACATTCGAACATTATTTCATTTTGCTAAAAATTCACCCAGACCAGATGTTTTGGTTGTTGTTATTTCCACAATGAGTTCACATACATCGCCTGTTAAAAATGTTGTCTTCCAAGCAGCAGTTCCTCGGGTAAATTAACGTTCTTTTATTTTTAAATAATTTTTAATTGCCTTCACTGTAACAAAATTAAAGGGAGGATGTAGTAGTTAAAGGAACTTTGCCCATGACAGAAGAGGATGCTGCAGCGTTAGTGTTGTTGCTGTTGTTGTCAACAATTCTTGTAGTTGCAATAACTTCAGAGGCTGGAAACCACAACAATATTTCACTTGTATGACGCAAGCAGCTTAGGGACGCCGCCAAAAGATCGATGTCGGATAAAAAACTTAATTCCTTTAAACTGTTAAACTGCAGTAACTTTCAACTATTGGATGCAAATTTATTTTGTAGTATTTCCATGCATGTATCTTTGAAAGATGGTTATTTGTAAATTTGCATATGAAGTTGTGGAATTATGACAGTGCATGTACAATATGGTTCTTTTTAGTGAGCTTGAATTATATTCATAGAAATGTTGTTTTTTCATATACAGTGTACTATTGAAATCAGTGGATGTCATCATCTGCTTATTGTCACTTTTCACAGGTTATGAAAGTGAAATTGCAGCCACCCTCAGCCTCTGAACTCCCAGCATTTAATCCTATCTTGCCAGCAGCAGCCATTACGCAAGTTATGTTATTAGCCAATCCAAATAAGGTAAGTAACACCTTTCTTATATGGTATCAGTAGCAGCCATTAAGCAATTTATTAGCCAATCCAAATAAGTTAAGTAACACTTTCCTTATATTGTGTCAGCAGCAGCCATATCGCAAGTTATGTTATTAGCCAATCAAAATAAGGTAAGTAACACCTTCCTTATATGGTATCAGCAGCAGCCATTATACAAGTTATGTTATTAGCCAATCGAAATAAGCTAAGTAACACCTTCCTTATATGGTATCAGCAGCAGCCATTATACAAGTTATGTTATTAGCCAATCGAAATAAGGTAAGTAACACCTTCCTTATATGGTATCAGCAGCAGCCATTACACAAGTTAGTTGTAAGCCAATCCAAATAAGCTGAGTAACACCTTTCTTGTATGGTATCAGCAGCAGCCATTATACAAGTTATGTTATTAGCCAATCGAAATAAGGTAAGTAACACCTTCCTTATATGGTATCAGTAGCAGCCATTACGCAAGTTAGTTGTTAGCCAATCCAAATAAGGTGAGTAACACCATCCTTATATGGTGTCAGCAGCAGCCATTATACAAGTTATGTTATTAGCCAATCGAAATAAGGTAAGTAACACCTTCCTTATATGGTATCAGCAGCAGCCATTATGCAAGTTAGTTGTTAGCCAATCCAAATAAGCTGAGTAACACCTTTCTTGTTATGGTATCAGCAGCAGCCATTACACAAGTTATGTTATTAGCCAATCCAAATAAGGTAAATAATGCCATTCTTATATTGGTTAAGATATTACAGATTATTATGTGTCAGAGACATAACAGGCCGAAATGGCAATGAAAATATAGCAGCATGATACATACACCTTTGAAATACATTAAATACATGCGTATATGACTGACCGTAAATTGTAAAGTTTTTTCATACATGTAACATCATAAATAAGGCCCAAATTTGCAAAGAATTCTAAATATTTTTAATTATTAACAAATATTTTTAGAGAATTCAAACCAAATACATTCTTAATAGTTCAAATAAATTGTGAATAAACTGTCCTAGGAATCTTATTTTGATCATGCAGAATTGTTGACAGGACTCACTAAATGGCTTCAAAATACTTATCTCTAGATTATTTGGGGAAGTGGATTTTAAGTCTGATAAATCCTCTTAGTCATACATTTATAGCTATAAAGTCCTCCCAAACGATGAAATGTCTTGGCCTGCAGTCAATGACATTTTGTCTGACTTTCTAAGCAAGATGAGCTTTATTCTATACTTCAAGCCCATATGGGTGTTAATATGTTTGGCAATAGCTTTATTTTAAGTCAATCCATATTATCACTTGTGAATAAAACATTTGAAAACACTGGAGAACATTTGTGGTTAATTTCACTGACTTTCTCTTTATCATGTTCAATCTATTTCTAGGAAAAGATTCGACTGAAATTCAAGTTGATGTATCAGATAGACAACGAGAAAGAAACCCATTTAGGCGAAGTATCCAACTTTCCTGAGCAATCGTGATAATTAACATCAATGAGACATGCTTCGCATACTAGTGACATCGATTAAGGTGCAAAAAAAAGCAGTCATGATTCCACAGTGGAGATGACTGCAACAGCATTGATATTCTATTCTGGGTGGCAATATTTTCCTGCTATGAAAGTTTTGCTCGATAGTTGAATTCTGCAGGGATGGACAAAAGTGGAAAAACTATCTTTATTTGTGAGTCTCAACTGCTGAATTTTTTTGATCATCCTAAGAAACCAGCAACATGTAATAGATGCTTTAAAACAAAAATCTTGCGCCAATGGGGGTTGATGACAGCAACCAAATCGATTATCTGTAGAACAATTATGAGAGGTGTAAGTGGTTTATCTCAAAAAGGTTTTGAAGAACAATACCACTTTTAACGTCCCGGTTTGTACAGTTGCATGTCCTTCAATTACTCACCTTACAAATCTTTATGCTTCAATATGAGAATCAATAAACAGGTTTCAGTCCAGCAATTCAGAATTGTCTCTTTTTCTCTAGAAAAATGTCTATTTAATATAGTTCTGCAAATTCATCCGAAATGTATATAAATCATTTTCAATTAAATGCTTCTATTTATTTGAAACACTGATATATAGAATACAACACCTGTAGCATTGTAAAGGAATTTGGATTTTTGCACACCTTATAAGGATCGAAATATACTTATTTTCTAGGCATTCTTACTTCATGTCATCTTACTTAATATATTTTTCGTGGATTTGTCTGTTACTCACCCTGGATTTGCTGTATGTTGGATTTCCCCCTACCTACTATTGAACAAACTAGTATTTCCACACGCCTACTCCTTTCTAATGCCAACTACACCAATATTGGCCTAACTCATAGATGCAATTATATGAGACAATATTTCAATTTGTGGCAATAATTATTTTCAAGGTTTTGATTCAGGAAGAAACCTTTCTAAATGTTTCTTGAGTCTAAAAAAAATTAAAGTACAATTATTATTTTTTTAAATTATAATACAAGCATAGAAATGGAAATCACAGAACCTGTGAATAAACTGAATTTTGAAACTGACCAATGTACATACATAGAAAATTGTATTTTATTTTTTTTTTGCTTGTCTGTGTTCAGCAGAACTATGCTAATTGCTGATGTTGTTAGATGTTTTGATTGGGTAAAGGTGTTTGCAATTACTGTATTTTCTATAAATAAAACCCCTTCTCTTCAATGAAAGATTGGCAGGCATTTAGGGACGCTTCATACCATAATTTACGGTAAAAGTATTAAGTGGAATTACAGGAGAGGGGTGTATACATGTACTTGGACTTTTTTTCAAGGCTGTTATCTAATCTAATAAATTTGTAGATAACATTGTTCTTTCAATTATGTTAACTTAGATTATGGAAATCCGTTATTATTAAATGTGAGGTATTTAAAATATTTAAATGGCACCTCTACATATGTACTGTCCATTTCCTAATCCATTATTTAAACCAGATTTTATAGGTGGCAGTAATGGCTGGAATATTGTGTATATAGTTTCTTAACTATTAAAGAGAATGTAATGTTGTCTTTTTTGCATTGTGAATATTTTACATTGGTGTGGTGCATTCTCATTGTGTTTCTGTTTGCAGAAATTAAAATGCTGCAATCGTACATAAAACTTGTCTTTGTTGTGATTCCCGGTGATTGGGGTTGGGGATGGTGGTGGTGGTGATTGGCTCCTTTGTCAATATAGCCCTTACAAAAACCGAGACAGTCCAAGTTTGATGAAACATCATTTTCATTGTATTGAAAAACTAACGTGAGTGTAAATGAAGTCCGGTAAATGTTATTTCCAACACGTAATTTCTCAATCATTCCTTAACCATTTTTATTTCTAAGTTCGTACAAAAATGATGACATTTGTTCGCATGGGGGCCATTTTTGTCCCTAAAAGCAAAAACAATATTTCTAAATGTGTTGTACGTTGGCTGTTTCTCCGGCATGGCAGTTCACTGATGTGCATAATTTTGTTTGTTGATTTTACATTAAATAGTTTTAATTTCAAGGGTCCTTGGCCATTTCTCTGACATTGACTGATTTTGTTGAAAGCAATGCGAGTTAAATAGACAACTCTGATTTGTGTAGGTGTTCATTGCTTGCTATATACATCTTGAAGTTACAAGTGTATTGTTCCAGCACTCACATTGTTGATGGAGAGTGAGATTTCTGATCGAAAATAAAATCACACAATGAGCATATAGCAAATATCTAGTATTTTTTGACATGCAATATGATGTCTACAGATCATGGATTTTTGTCACAGAAATGCTTGCCTCTAGTGGGTTTGACATGCAGAGTAGGAAGGATATGTGTTGGAAAATCTCACATCAATATCTGCTCTGGATTAGCCAACTATATACCATACAGAAGATAGATAGGAAGTACTTCAAAAGAGGTATTCTGATGTTCAATAATCATAACTACCGTAAAAATTCCAAAATGTTTACGCCTCTAAAAATTTGTTCACCTATAGTGCTGCAGCAGAGACCACCTCTGAGAGGGGGGAGTGGCACCCAAAGTGCCACATTTGTCCTCATGCATAAATTTGAAGGACAATATGTCTGGAGTATGAAACAGCCTGAGGACATCTTTGGAAATGCTGGCGAGCTGAGAAATTGAGGTTCGAATTTGGTAATGTAGAACAAGCAAAACAGACGCTATCGGTAATATATAATAGGGGTATGGGAAACATAAATCTTCATATAATTTCATTTAATTACTTTATCTTACAAACCTATATACCATTGTGAAGCTATATTGATAGCCTTTCAGACTCTGTAAGTTATATGTTCATAGGCAAAGGTCACCAGAGGTCAAGTGATCAGGTGACCAATGGTATCACACATATTTTCACCGTATAGTATGTTCATGGTTCACTTGAATGATATTGATCAAACTATGCTTAGTAAAATACCATTTTATTTAA